TTGTCCATGGAAGGTCCCTGCAAAATTTCATTGAAATTGGTTCAGGGGTTTTGGAGAAGAAGTCGAAAATGTAAATTGTTTACGGACGCACGACGGACGACGGACGACGGACGACGACGGACAAAAGGCGATCGCAATAGGTCACTTGAGACTTTGTCTCAGGTGACCTTAAAAGGTTCCGTAGTTTACTTACATCGCTACCTCCCTCATTAGAGAGTTCCTCTACTGATATCCTTCGAACACCTAATGGTTGTGATAATGGATTGCTACCTGTAATGAAAAATTGTAAATTTCTGAAGGTCGATTGACAAATCAATGTGCATTCCCATGTTTTATCAATGGCATTTTTTCTATATGTATTTCTTTTTGTGCCTAATTATTTGTATACTTTTTCATATGGTTTTGGATTTTCTGCAATTAATTCAAACATCCGAGTGTCCATGCCATTCAATAAAGTAGAGACATAATTACCTATTGTGTTCGCCTTCTCCAATATCTGCTGGTCCTTGGAAAGACCTTCTCGGAAGTTTTGCAGCTGGTTCCTGTCAAATGTAGACGTATTTGACCGAGCCAGTCCAATTGGAGGGAGTGTTGACCTCGGAGCGGTGGACGTTATGGTTCCAGGTTGGCCATATACTTTGACCATGTTACTTAGCTCGCGTGGTCTATCACCATCACCTCCAGGTACGTTTATCAACGGTCCATTACTGCCATAACCCTGATTAAAATGAACCATTTGAAACGCTACTTTATTGGTATACAATTTTATTCAAATAAGCAGCAGATTATAACTTTATAAATTAACGCGATCTGTTATGAAAACCAATGCAGAATCGAAGTATTAATAAATGAGATATCCCTTTTGTGGTAAAAGGTTGCCATGTCCATAAGTAGTACTGTTAAAAGATCAAGGTGATATTCCAGATATGCGAACTCCCGTGGAACAAACAAATCGATTTGTATCGAAAACATCCGAGTTCCTAATCGAACGTCAAAGCCACTGAGTTTACAGTGCATTAACATAATACAGACATATTATCTGTGTCTGATATAACAATTATATACAAACTCAAGTAAAGGTATCAATAGGTAGATATGGGAATCCACTTACATTAACATGATGCAGATATATTGTCTCTGTCTGATATTATAATGATATAAATACTTAAATATAGGTATAAATAGGTAGATGTGGGAGTCCACTTACATTAACATGATATAGACATGTTGTTTGTATCTGATATTACAATGATATACAAACTCAAATAGAGGTATAAATAGTTAGATATGGGAGTCCACTTACATCAACATGATACAGACATATTGTTTGTATCTGATATTACAATGATATACAAACTCAAATAGAGGTATGAATAGGTATATAAGGGAGTCCACTTACATTAGACAATGGTGGGAGGTCCTCCGTTTTCCTCTTTTTCTTCCGGAAAAGTCTGTTCTTTAGCTTTCGTCTATTTACAGTTGATGAGTCAATCCGTGGCTGTTATGGTTTGAACATAAATAAAAACATAATTTATGTATAACTTATCCTTCGAAACTTATGTTTTTGTATATATTCCTCGCTTATATATGTATTCATGTAGTAAGATTTCAATATCGAATATTAAACTGATCAACTGGTAACATGTTTTCATTATTTAACAAATCATCCAGAAGTATTGTGTTTGATATAAAACAAATATTCTAGATCAATGTGTTTAATATTGAACTTTTCATCAATGTTCAATATTAAAATGCTCTATATTGGTTAAGGGTTGTGGGTACCTATCTCAATGCTTTCTATAAATATTTGATCAGCCAGACACGACAGTTCTTTATTACGGTTGGTATTACCTGTTCTTCCTTTCCAATGGGATTTCCAAATTGATCAAGTTGATCAATAGCAACACTAAATGCAACCGTCTTTGAGCGCCTCTATAAATAATATAAAAGCGGGTTGTTTTTCAAATGTGACAGCTAATGAAAATCAATACAGTTATAATTACCTCTTTTCTTTCGTTATTGTGTAAATTGTTGAAATGTTATCTATACAATCTAAACCAAAAGTAGATAAATGTATCTGTAAGTCAATGAATTAGTTAATGCTCATGGAAATTTGTACAAATGTCTTATCTCCTTTCTCGATATCATTTAACACAGACTTGGTTATGAACGGTATATAAACGTGAAATGATGAGAAAAAACTCTTTACGATGAAATAAATAACACCAACCACTGTAGACGCCTAGAAGTTTAGTAATTCTTAATACCAACAAATGTCCTACCCTGGATTCACTTGTTCGTTTTCTCTCGTCGGAAGACCGTTGAGCGTTACCAGAGATTCGACCGTCTTCTCGCTCATTTTTCTCATTATCTGCTTGCTCAGCCGTGTCGTTGATAGATGTCTCCGGTCCAAATGTGTCGTCTTTAATGCCCTGTATTGAAAATAGATTACATATTAATGTTTGACAGAATTCTATTTCAACTGCTCTGTTATTACATAGTGTGTGTGTTACATTAAAAACATCACTGAATGAATGGCAAGTGTTCGCACACAATCACGTCAGTACAAATCTTCGTTTACATATTTCTGTGTATATATAATATAAACTGGACAAGCTGCAAATATTACCGTTACAGTCCATATGATTAACACATGTTTGAATTAAATATTGGCAGATCCGCGTGACCATCAATGGTACATACCCCAGTCGGCCGTCCTTTCTTGTTCCTGTTTAACCTCGGCACATTGAAGATTCGTTTTAGTGTAGCTTTCTTCAGATGTCTTTGAAATTGTCCTGGTTTATACACCTTTCCGTCCGCCATTCTCTGTGGAAATAATAATAGAAATAGTTTTAGAGTATAATGGTTTCTAGAAATATATAACGACAAGTTTTCGTTTTAGTTTGTTGGTTATATAATGTATAAACATGGACATCACACTGTATATACACAAGTAACTTCAATTACAACTATTTATTGTGTCTTTGAAAATAAATCAAATTGTTTGTAGACTAGTCCTATATAACTATTGTTAGAGTTTGGTCACTTAAGTCCGATACCTTTAAACCTATACATCGTTATGACCCCTTAACCGTACAACTAAGTTCACTTACAACAATGTTTCCATTTTCATTTCGAATGTGCCCTTCCGGAAGACAATCATCGTCAAGGTCAAACACGTCACTTTCAAGGTCACTGCTACTGTCAGCTTTCCTGACCTTTTTTGACTGTGGACTTTCAGCGCGTGAAGAACTCCGAGAACCATTCCTTCCCTCTCCGTTTTTCACATTGTTCGCTTCCTCCTTTGCTGTTGTTTTCTCTCCCTCATTCACATTTGCATTTTCAATGCCAATCACTTTTACGTCAACTTCCATTTTCTGAATTTCTTTTTGCTCTTCTTTCTCTAACTCTTCTTCCTGTTGATATATCACAATGCATTATTATTTAAACAATGCATGAGCAACTTGCCCAATATGAGGATATCATAAAGTTTCCCATTCTATACATAGATGGATTATAAAGAGAGAGGATCTCCGACAAATCCCATTTCATATTTAGATTATTTTAAAGGAGTACAAGTACTGATATGGAAGATATAAGATAACTCATTTTGAGGGTCAATTTTTTTTATATCTCGACTGGTAAAATATAGATAAAACAGGTTTTTTTTCTTTTCTGTAAATCTGTATTTTCCTATTATTTCGTATGACAATATAATGCATGCTATTATACTTGTTACAGATCAAAGAGGAAAAACATGTGATAATGTTCATTTTCTTCACAACAACATGAATATGGGTCATTAATCTCATTAAAAATATTATCAATTATAAAAGCTAGGACGTCGCAATCAGATATAACCATAATGGGGCAACGAAAGCTACAAATGAAAACTGCACATCCGCATAGCCTTGTGATTTTGTGATTTTATGTCAGAATAACTATAAATGAATTACTTTCACGGTGAACTAGCTAGGGTGTGAGTGCTTGAATGGTTATTAATTAGCCATTAGACTGTTTTGCTCTTAAACTGAATCTTACTATCTGATCGAGTTGCATAACGATGTTGTCATCCTCGGGTAAATCCCAGTAGTGGGCGTCATCGAGCTTCTTTTCTATGTCTTTCTTGGTATGGTATTGTTCCATAAATGGAGCCACTGGTTGGGCGAATCTTTGTCTGTCAACATCCTCCACATCTGGGTCATTCATTTCCTCATCCTGGTTTTCGTCTGAAGCGCCCTGCTTTTTGGATTTCTTAAAAGCAAACAGGCGACCAACTCGCGACCTGATTTTTCTTCTAGAGGCCTTTTCTCTACTCTTTTCCTCCATTTCCCGCGTCACAAGGACTTTACTTAACAGACCTGGGAGCTTAAAACATATACAGTACACATTTACTAAAGCAAAATGGCAAAAATGCTGTGTGTATCAAACATATAAGGAGGCTGAAAGAATTGACACATACAATGTGACTTCACATGTAACAGCTACATTGATTAACACTTTTCTGAAAGTCTAAAAGTGTAGCTGTTAAACAAATAGTTTTCTTGGGGGTAAAAGTCCAAACTGAGTAGAAGAAATCATACTTTAAAAGTATAAATGTACATGTGTTATAAATTAGTGATCCTTTCTACAATGTTCAAATTTGAGTCGACTTAGCTGTATGATAATTTCCCAACAACACAGAATATTACTAAAGACTCGATTACCACTATGTGTTTCCCTCCAGTCTTTTTTGGTCCCCCCTGTTCTTCGTCCACATCCTCATCAGTCCCCTCTCTTCCTCCATCAATCCTTTTCCCGTTCTAACGACGATAAATATCCCATTAAAAAAATGCAAATTCAAACATAAAATCATTATTCATTCTTGAAATATGTATACATATAAACATTTTCATACATAACAGAAGGCTATAAGTCAAGTAAAATCACAGAAACAAATGGCGTGCAGAATGTGTATCAGTATAACATCAACAATATGTCGGGTAAAAGTGCACAAACAATGTAAATGTAAAGTAATGTATCGAAGACAATACAGAATATACGACACTGTCAATATACATGGAAAACTTCTGAACCCAATGAGACCACATCGTCAGTATACAATGACCAATTCTGTACTCATAGACCATATCGTCAGTAAACAACGAAAAAATCTGAGCTCAAAGACCATGTAGTTAATATGCAAGTACAAATTTTGAACACAGACTATATCGTCACTATACAAGGACGACTTCTGAACTCAAAGACCATATCGATATTATACAAGGACAACTTCTGACCTCAAAGACCATATCGATATTATACAAGGACAACTTCTGAACTCAAAGACCATATCGATACTATACAAGGACAACTTCTGAACTCAAAGACAATATCGATATTATACAAGGACAACTTCTGAACTCAAAGACAATATCGATACTATACAAGGACAACGTCTGAACTCAAAGACCATATCGATACTATACAAGGACAACTTCTGAACTCAAAGACCATATCGATAATATACAAGGACAACTTCTGAACTCAGAGACCATATCGATATGATACAAGACAACTTCTGAACTCAAAGACCATATCGATATCATACAAGGACAACATCTGAACTCAAAGACCATATCGATACTATACAAGGACAACTTCTGAACTCAGAGACCATATCGATATTATGCAAGACAACTTCTGAACTCAAAGACTATATCGATATCATACAAGGACAACATCTGAACTCAAAGACCATATCGATACTATACAAGGACAACTTCTGAACTCAAAGACCATATCGATACAATACAAAGACAACATCTGAACTCAAAGACCATATCGATATTATACAAGGACAACTTCTGAACTCAAATACCATATCGATACTATACTAAGACAACTTCTGAACTCAAAGACCATGTCGATACTATACAAAGACAACTTCTGAACTCAAAGACCATATCGATACTATACAAGGACAACTTCTGAACTCAAAGACCATATCGTTGATATGCAAGGACAACTTCTGAAATCAAAGACCATATCGTTGATATACAAGGACAACTTCTGAACTCAAAGGCCATATCGTTAATAAACAAGGACATATTTTGATAATAAATAAGCACATCCCTAACCTCACAATTAAGTTCAGTAGAGTGATGATTATTTATCATCATTTTATCTGTTTTACCCTATCAGCGTATATTGACCCACAGATAAGTTAGTAGGGAATGTTACGGAGGACGTACCTACCTTTAACGTAACACCATCATCGCCTTTGTCGTCGCCTTCACCATCTGTCCCGCTACCGTCATCATCAGATTGCTACAAGATCATGCATGTTCATTGTAAAAGTGTTAATACGATTTAAAGTTAAATATTGACGTTTTATATCCATGTTAAAGTCATATGTGAAGAGTTTGTTATTATTTTTCACTTGTTATACAAAACAAATAAACACACGCCAAGTATTTACTTACTGAATTCAGACCTTCTGTAATTATAAACATTAACATTAGCGTCTGTTATAATGTAATAACAAATGAAACTGTTTGTCTTATTTTAGCAAGTACTAAACTTGACAGTCATTCTTTTGATGTATTTTAACGATCTTTATAAAGCTATGTGCGTTGTTGATATTGATGCGCAAAACCGCTTTTTTATAGTCAATACACAACTAGTGCGTGGTTGTAGTTTTATAATAGATCACTGTGACTTACACAGATACGTTTACTGTACACACATATAGTAAATATATATAACATGGAGTGGCTTACCAACCTGGTCTGTTCAAACGAAAATGTGTGCATGCTTTCGTAAAATACATTCCATTCCAGAATACAGTCACGAGATTAGTTATATAATAAAAACAATAGTTAGTACTCGAATAAAATCAGAATGAGTTCACGAACATTACATGACTTACATACGGTTATTGGCTTAACAGTATTGACCTATATATAAGATAATGTATATAACATCTTACTGTGATGTATGTTTTATAATATATGTATCACCTACTGTATCACTTACCACTTACTTACGACCTTGGTCATCTTAACAAAACTAAGGAAGGTTTTCTTAAAAAATCATTTCGAAACATGAACTGTCTGTCTTAATCAACTACAATATGATGATATCAGAAACAAAATTAGTCGGGAAATGTAGGATCACAGTGCAGACTACAAACTACAACAAAGTACATACAAAGCAGAAAGAAGTGTGCCAGTATTTAGTGTAAATATCAAATAGAAACGATACGAGTGGGGTAAACAGTATGTATTTATGAAGGATGACTGATAATTCACTGTGACAAACGAGGTGTACATGTAAAACAAGACAGTGTATGTAACCACATTGGACTACCTCTGCCGTGTTTTCCTCCTTGGTGCCCTCTTCCATCCTACTTGTCAATGGAGACTCCTGTTTTGTTCCATCATCATTTCTAAGTGGCGAAGTGTTGTTCTCCTGTACGACACTTGTCTCACTTTGAGATTGTGTTACCTGTTTAGATTCTTCCGTGTCCGAACCTTCCTCATTCTGGGAATGGTGACCATCTCCCTCTCGTTCTAAGCTGTGATTGGATTTATATTGAGTTTCGGGTTCAGTAGTGGGTTTGGTAAGAGAGGAACTGTCATTATCAGTATCCATAGTATCATCCTTTTTAGAAATTTGATCTGGCTCTGGCTCCATGTTTTCTTCATTTTGAGAATGAGAATCATCTGACTCTGAGTCCTCAGTTTTCTCTTCAATATGGGCTAAAGGTTGTTGATTGATAGTTTCTGTTTCTTCTAATTTTGATGTTGAATCGGTCACTGTTTCTTCCCCTTGTTGTTCTGGCTGTGGTTTGTCTTCATGTTCATCCGGCTGAGCTACATTCTAATACAATTTAATTTATTAAAACAATTTTGCAGAACATACTCTGAATCAGATATTTTCGTGGGCCCAACATGTCGTGGTTTCCCAGGAAAAACAACATTTCGTCGGTACATGAATGGTTCATGGATCGAGAGTACCCAGTCATACGAAAAACAGCTTTATGTTAAACTTTTTATTACTTCTTGAACCTATGAATTCATGTATGAAGAAAACCCGGTCATAGGGAGGAAAGCTCGTGGCAAACCTGTAATTACTTCGTGGATGAAAAGTACTCACGAAATCAAAGGAATTTAAAATCCCACTTAAATAAGTGATTTGACAGTATATTGTACAGAAAATGTAAATTATCCATTGATTGTGTACCCAGTTACACCTGTATTTATTAATATATATATATATATATATATATATATATATATATACATAAAGTACGCGATGAACAAATAACTCCATTATAGCACCGCCGTTTAGTAATAGACAGACTAGATCAAAGTGTGATGATAAATCGATGATCTCTTTTGAACCTCCTACAATCTCCATTATTCGACCATATACATATAACAATTGCAAATTTAAAGCTTGCATTATCTGGGGTAGATTAAGCGCATTGTAAAACTTCTAGGTTTTGGTCTCATATGCATTCAATTGTCATGCGAGTGAAAATCATTCGTTTGAAGCGTGATCCAGGGTATAATTAAAACATGCAAACAGAGCAAAACGTGTCTGTAATGATTAGCTCTCTTTTAATTGGGGGAAATAAAATAGTCTTTTGAGCGAACTCGTTAATGTTTTTTTTATTGTGAAAAACAAATCTGTTTTAACAGTGCACACGAAGCAGTTCATACTAATTAGCAATTTAAATTATATCGATTATAGATGTATAACGGCCGTATTTCCATAGCAAGCATTTTGTGACGTGTCTGCTGGGCTAATACCCGTATTTTATCGCTCAATTTCGAATCCAGATTTCTAAAATAATTGATCAATGTAAATTTATTTAATCGATGTACATTTTGTATTTAAAGAGTATATTATTGTGAATCATGGCCTTGAAAAAACATCTTTGAAAGTATCATCTTAAAAAATCGTACAATGTACTTTTGTGATTTTATGTCAGAATAACTATAAATGAACCATACTCGTTTCAATCGAATTGAAATAGATATAGGGCATGCATGTTACATATCCAATGTGTAAAGATAGCTTTGTTTTCATATCATAACTAAAAACACAAATCTAGTTTCTTCAGATTATACGAGAACAGAAGATGTCATTTATGAAGTCAATACATGTACAGTCTAATCTGTATTAAGAGATCAAGGTCGGGATTCCGACAACGTATTCTCTTAATACATATTCAATTAGCAAGAACGTAACTTCATTGGACAAAAATAAACGTATCCTTTTAACACTGCTGGTCTCTTACAGAACAGAGTCGTCTATGAACAACCAATCAACCTCGGCATTGTAGTGTAAATTCATAACGGTAGGATATATATAGAGAGGATCTGTCATAAGTTTCCCTTCATATTTATGATCCAAAACTAGTATTATAAATCTAATATGAAGGAAAACGAATGACAGATTCTTTTTATCATATCTTACTAATTAAACCGTATAAGTATGATCTAAAACGAACATTTTGCACTTAGCCGCCTCTGAAAAGATGAAAATGGCGACGCTTCACAATGATTTGACGTCACCTTGATCGATCCTATTTGATTGTGACCTCATTTCCGTAATGATATTACACACGTTATATATACATAATTTATGTGATGGCTTTAGGACACTGCATAACATGATATTCATATGATGAATATATATATGTCACCCTGGTATATATATATATGTCACCCTGGTATATATATGTCACCCTGGTATATATATGTCACCCTGGTATATATATGTCACTAGTTGCTTCCTACCGACTAGGCTAGGGAGAATTTCTCTTTAGCTCATTTGGAAGAGCGTAAGACTAGTAAGCTAGAGGTCCCGGGTTCGACTCCTGGCGGAGGCATCGAAAATAAAATGACCTCTGTTACATACATATATATAGAAAAGGCTCAAACTTGACAAAATGCAAGTTCATTATATAAAACAATGAGTTACTTAACAAATGAAGACGTAACATTTTGCACTATCGTTTTCACTGTATTAGTTATACAGGTACATGGTTGTAACAACAGTTAGAACAAAATGTAACGTTTCGTTTTGTCAATCAACTAGTTTATATATATATTTATTTCCTTTTGTAAGAAGATGGTCTTGGCTCTGTTGAGCTGGTGGCAATGAATATATACCGATAAAATCAGACCTATTATGATATTATGTTAATTAGCCCACAGACCAGTTTGTTTACTGCTGGTGTTTACCTGTATACTAAACTGGTAAACAAGTGAGTTGAACCATTTTAATTTATTTGGTCGACTTTATCGATAACCTGTTAATTATATGAGGGTCTTACACATGAAGTGGTCTATTTGTAGTTGAACACATTAACATGAGCTAAACGGTTTAACAATCACAAACGTGGCGAGTATTCAGAAAAGTTATTCATGCAAGTGTATTCATCATCGCTGACCAAAATGTCAGCCTCATTAAAGCGCTTAGTGTTTTACTAAAAGCTTTGATTTCTCTCCGTAATCATGCAAAGAACCAGATTCTAGTATCGTCATAAACACACCACACAATGCCAAGGCTGGGGTTTTATTGTGTAGGAAAGCTATCGCGATCCTTTATAACACAATACGAGATTTTGTGATATTCAAAAGACTCTTTTGATATCAGGTAAAACCCATTTATGTCTCAAGTGATGTCAAAATCGCTGCAATTGTAAGCACTTACACGCACTATATTGAAAAGCTTCATGCAAAATCCAATCTTTTTAAAAAAAACAGGACATGTACTTCCCCTGTTAGACATCCTGTACACGAATATGATTAACGGAAGCCTAGTATGATATCAATATGATAAAATCCAAATGTTTAGGGAAATTGCAAATGTTGACAACACGTGAATACAACTAGGAAACACTAATTCAATATTTCGATATTTCATATAATCCTTAATGTTGTCGGTCTGTTTTATATTCACAGCATGTTATGGAATATAAATACTTGCCATGAAACGTTGTCTGGTATCATGGTAGCTAGCACGGGCTGATATGACCTACCTGTTCTGTGTCGTCTCTCGGAGAGTCAGACGTGAGCAGTGTACCTTCAGAATCAGACATTTTATCTTGTGGATGACCAGACCACGTGTCTACATTACATCACAAACGAATTGGACCACAAGCTGATAATCTCCATCCACATGCATTTCTATTGCAGTCCTAGGGGGTCCACGACGTAATACACACCCCTGGTTACCGTACAGTTATATAGGACATCAACACTAGCTGTCTAAGTGAATAGCTCGATGTGTTTATAGATCAGCTTTGGTTACATGCTGAATTCACTACTCAATCGAAGTGCCCCCAAACTTCGTGTATAATTGTATTGACAATATTTATCATTAGAGTCAATCGAAGACTTTATTTTTAAAAGGGGAGAAATAACCGGTTTTGTTCGAATAGCAATTTAACGCTTCAGTGTGAAGGTAGTTTATTGATCAATCCTTCAAACTGAAGGTCAAGTACTGACGACTAGAGGGTTAGATAGTCACGCAGATGGCTTCATATATAACGGATCGGCACCAAATGCACATAAGTACACTGTTACAATCTTATTATTGATGTAGTCTAAAGCGAACGAATCTTATGCGACGAGCATTTCCACACCTACAGTATTTATCTCGACTAAAGGGAACTATAAACATGTTTACTTAAGGTTTTCATTTCTCGACATTTAACCCTGTAGATAGCTATCTACATTTAAATTCTGTTCGAAGCTACTATACACAATCAAAACGGTGTCAAAACCCCAGATTAGGGCCAGTGAAATATATTTAATACAGTACAGTATATCATAAATGTCATGACAGGTCACCAGTGACAGTGTTGGTAGTAATATAAACGTATTTGTTGATATAGCGGCTACAACGCTAGCTAAAATCAGAGCGCATGCGTTACGGAATGAATCAAGCCCATAATTAATATGCTTCATAAAATGCTATATATCGGGGTTTAACCATATTGGAAAATTATACTCAGGCTCTAAAACCTTCTAGATATCAACCGCGAAAACATAAGCTCGCCATAATGCAAATAGATAGTCAGATCACGTGATCCGCAACACATCAAGTATTTCACTCCGCTCTTACACGATACATCACGATTTAGCTTCTAATGCACAGAGTAGCGCTTGAATCAAATTGTAAAAAATCTTCTCTTTATCAAAACATTGTTTTATTACATGGCTTTTGTATCTCATATTAATAGAGACATTGTATTTAAATGCATATATAATGCATGTGAATGAAATGAACGGCTATAAATAGACACTGACGTATGTAAACTAGTAGTTTATTTACAACTGTAAAAATAAAAGTTAAAAAAATGATGCATTAAGAATCGTTTTGTTTAAAACACAGTTACAAAGACAGCCTAATTTATTGAAATCCAGTAATGTTTACTGGTCTGTCACGCCCACTAAAGCAAATTAGTGTATTTTCAAAATTCCTGACATTCGAGATTCATTGATTTCAAATAAATTACATGCCACAAAAGACAACGTACACAACATTCACGGAAAGGAGTCAGTCAATGGTAATTCTAGTACTTTACAGCCGGTATGATGGTGTAAGTAATGGACGTAAGAAAAACTACAGGCCCAGTTAATAAAATCGTGTTTTAAATGTTTTATCGCCAAGATTACAATACTAGGTTTACACACACATAAACAAAGACGTGGTTCCATTGAAGTTGACCTAGTTTTGTTGTCAAGGGATACCAATGTACTTTCTTGTACTTTGTTATTTATTATGTAGCATGCTGATGTCAATGTCAGTTAACTCTTTCAACTATAACTGCAGCATTCGTGTTAAGTAGTATCTAAACCAATAAGCATTCTTCAGTTTTGCATTCAACTAACACAGGACATTCACTCATTGTCTCTTTACATATTAAATGCTCTGAAATTGTTACTCAAACAATAGTTACACTTGTTTACTATCCCTTGCCGAACTATCAACACAATCTATTGATGAGAGTTGTGCGCATCCTACAGTCTAATAATTTTAAAAAAAAACGCATGTCACAAGTGATACAATAAACTAACCCGTTAAGAGGTTATAACCCGGACAAATAGCAATGTTATCTTACATTTGAGTTATTGTTATAACCCTGACCCTATGTGTATTAAGTTGACCGTTGAACACGACATAACATAAAATCATCAAAAACACAGACAAAAACGGTAAAGCATGGATGATGTTGTGAAGTCGTATGTAAAACCCTATTGTTTCACATACAGTACTAAAGTCACTATGATGATGATAACAAAATTATGCAATGTTAAATGACCATATACTTCGTGTTAATTCTACTGAAAGTAACGCAATCAAAAGCATTAATATTTCTATCTAAAGCAATACTAATTGTTCTATATAACAAAGGAAATATAAAAAGAGATAATGTACATATTCCGTCACCAAGGTCTGACCCAGTATAGAAATCTACATCACGTGATCTCATTGTTCACTTCAACTATCCACACACATTGTTAGTCGCCTCTACGTTAACCGTCACCAGCAAACGGATGTATCTAGTTGAAAGTTTACTTTTAAAATTGACTTACCCCTGATGAAGTTTCCTCCTCCTCTTCCCCGTCGTCATCTTCCTCATCCTCCTCCTCCTCGCCTTCATCTCCAGGACGCATTCTTCTTTTTCTTTTTCTTCTTCTTCTCCGTTTTTTCTTTTGTTTGCTCTCATCTTTGCCAGGAATAAATCCGGAATCTACAGATTGTTTGTCCTCGTCGGTTTTTGTACGCTGTTGCTCCTCTCCCTCTTCCGGTTTAGAATCATCTTCATCCGGTTTAGCGTCACCGCTCTTACTATCCTCTGACCCTTTGTCACTTTCATCGTCAGCCGATTCGACATCCTTTAGTCTTTTTCGACACTTGATGCAGCAGATCAATAATATGATGATCGTGATAATTATCAATAAAACAATTATACCGAGTATAACATAAAGATAGGTCAGATCCTCAGTCGAGGTTGTGCTGGTGGCTGCAATAACAAAACAATAGAAATATGGCCAACGTTATTTATATATCGCTGCTTGTGTAATTTCTTTTTTGATATTTCAAATAGTTACTCATACGTAAATTTATTTAAGCTACAGACATTTCTCGTGTTCCAGTATAATGTTGATAATAGTAGTGATGTATAGTATGGTGTCATTCTGTAAAGTCTACTCTTCAATGTGTCTTATGGCACACAGATATAACGAAACTGATATTGATTACTGTGTACTTTTAGCATTATTTTATTGAAGAGGTTTGTAGTGTTTAGTCACTTTTTATTGAGATTAACCTCATATCATTATCGTATTGAGGTATATATGATCCCTACATACATTAGTTAATCAAACTGGATACTCACTGCAGGCAGCTGAAAAGACAAAAGACATATTTGTAAATTCATCATGATTTTGATTTTTTGCTCCTTTATTTTTTTTTATTAATCTATTGTGAATATCTTTTGCTGTCTTTATTATATAGCATATAAATAAATACAATAGCAATGCAAAAAATGTTCTGAATTCCATTCAACTTAAGGTCTTGTTGTTCTTGGCTGCATATATTTACAAAGTTTATGTCTGAAATAACGTTAGTGTCTAACATTTATCTTAAGATGATGCATGCTTGATTCCAAAGGTTTTATCTGTTTACAACCGTCATAGCTGTGTAGTAAAACTTTACCCGAGTACACGTACATGCTTTCCTGGATACACGTACATGCTTACCAGGGTACACCTTGTGCTTACAATGTACCTGAGTACACCTACGTGTCTACCTGGGTACACTTTCATGCTTACCTGGGTACACCTAAATGCTTACCTGGGTACACATTCGTGCTTACTTGGGTACACATAAGTGCTTAACTGGGTACACCTACGTGTTTACCTTGGTACACATTCGTGCTTACTTGGGTACACCTAAGTGCTTACCTGAGTACACCTACGTGTTTACCTTGGTACACTTTCATGCTTACCTGGGTACACCTAAATGCTTACCTGGGTACACATTCGTGCTTAGTTGGGTACACCTAAGTGCTTACCTGGGTACACCTACGTGTTTACCTGGGAACACTTTCATGATTACCTGGGTACATATACATGCTTACCAGGGTATACCTACGTGCTTAACTGGGTACATCTACATGATAACCTCGGTACACCTTTGCTTACCTGTTTCTTCGAACACTGTAACGTATCCTCCAGTTGGTGTGGTGGTTGATACCTGGTTGGCCTCACACTCTGTCGGTTTAACACTGGCGTAAGTATAGACCCCAGCCTCAGACACAACCTGTCACGGAGTCAGCATGTTGTTAAATGCAGTGTATGACCATTCTCCTCATATAGGGTTCATAAAACTTCAATACTACACTCCAGCCTCAAACATTTTTGTCATATAAGATACTGATAACTAAATAGCCAACTTTTCTCAAAACTCTGGACTGACTACCAACCCTTAAGCATTCGTCAATATTATAAAAATGGGGCCAGTTTATCCAGCCTTAGACATAATGTATCACGGGGTTACCGTCTTATATATTCATAGTACTGAAACCATTCGTATTGTATATTATAACTTACTACATTCCAGCGTACATTACACGTGGTAAGGTTAACCGTCAAATATAACTAACTATAACCCACCTTACACCACCTATGGTAGGATGACCGTCTTATATAACTAACTATAACCCAGCTTACACCACCTGTGGTAAGATTAACGTCATATATAACTAACTATAACCCAGCGCACACCACCTGTGGTAAGGTTACCGTCATATATAACTAACCATTACCCAGCGTACATTACATGTGGTAAGGTTACCGTCATATATAACTAACTATAACCCAGCGTACATTACATGTGGTAAGGTTACCGTCATATATAGCTAACTATAACCCAGCTTACACCACCTGTGGTAAGGTTACCGTCATATATAACTAACTATAACACAACGTACATTAAATGTGGTAAGGTTACCGTCATATATAGCTAACTATAAACGAGCTTACAACACCTGTGGTAAGGTTACCGTCATATATAACTAACTATAACCCAGCGTAGACCACCTGTGGTAAGGTTACCGTCATATATAACTAACTATAACCCAACGTACATTACATGTGGTAAGGTTACCGTCATATATAGCTAACTATAACCCAGCATACACCACCTGTGGTAAGGTTACCGTCATATATAACTAACTATAACCCAGCTTACACCACCCATGGTAAGGTTACCGTCATATATAATTAACTATAACCCAGCGTACACCACCTGTGGTAAGGTTACCTTCATATATAACTAACTATAATCCAGCGTACTCCACCTGTGGTAAGCTTGCCGTCATATATAACTAACTACAACCCAGCGCACACCACCTGTGGTAAGGTTACCTTCATATATAACTAACTATAATCCAGCGTACACCGCCTGTGGTAAGGTTACCATCATATATAACTAACTATAATCCAACGTACACCACCTGTGGTAAAGTTACCATCATATATAACTAACTATAACTCAGCTTACACCACCTATGGTAAGGTTACCGTCATATATAGCTAACTATAACCCAGCTTACACCACCTATGGTAAGGTTACCGTCATATATAATTAACTATAACCCAGCGTACACCACCTGTGGTAAGGTTTCCGTCATATATAACTAACTACAACCTAGCGTACACCACCTATGGTAGGGTTACCATCTTATATGACTTCGACTACCCAGCGTGCAGCACCTGTAGTAGGGTTACAGTCTTATACAACTTGCTACAACCCAGCGAAACGACCTGTGTTACATGTAGTGTAACCTTTTCATTACAGAGGGACATTTGTATCATGTGGAATAATGTTGGTTTTGTATTTAGTCACATATGATTTGTTTACATTATAATACTCTAGACAGAAATATAATTTACTAACATGTCAAAAGGGAATTTTGACTTTCATACATAATTATAGCCACATTTTTGTATACATTCCTTCAATACTTATCTGTAATTGATATCATATTTTCCGATAAGTAAATATAACAAAATACAAAAATCCTCTTAATTAATCTTGCCAAGCGTTGATGACAGAATCTACAAATGATTGTTGTATATATTAGAATGCGGTTTCAAAATGTTTATCAATAGGATTCAATGATAATATCAAGGGCATGAATACTGTTTAAACATGTGATATACAGTTCCCAGGATTTAGGTATGAGCTGTACCTACCAGGCAAGAAAAGGCGTAGTACGTAGAGCCGTCTACACTGGAGTCCTCGTTGTACACCGTCACGTACGTATAACTACCAATGGTATTTTGGTAAACACAGTCCAGACTACCATTCTCTGTACAGGACATAGAACGATTTTATTATCTATAACTACCAATGGTATTGTGGTAAACACAGTCCAGGTTACCATTCTCTGTAAAGGACATAGAACGATTTAATTATCTATAACTACCAATGGTATTGTGGTAAACACAGTCCAGGCTACCATTCTCTGTACAGGACATAGAACGATTTTAGTATCTATAACTACCAATGGTATTGTGGTAAACACAGTCCACCAGGCTACCATTCTCTGTACAGGACATAGAACGATTTTATTATCTATAACTACCAATGGTATTGTGGTAAACACAGTCCAGGCTACCATTCTCTGTATAGGACATAGAACGATTTTATTATATATAACTACCAATGGTATTGTGGTAAACACAGTCCAGGCTACCATTCTCTGTACAGGACATAGACCGATTTTATTATATATAAACTACCAATGGTATTGTGGTAAACACAGTCCAGGTTACCATTCTCTGTACAGGACATAGAGCGATTTTATTATCTATAACTACCAATGGTATTGTGATAAACACAGTCCAGGCTACCATTATCTGTACAGGACATAGAGCGATTTTATTATGTATAAACTACCAATGGTATTGTGGTAAACACAGTCCAGGTTACCGTTCTCTGTACAGGACATAGAGCGTTTTTATTATCTATAACTACCAATGGTATTGTGGTAAACACAGTCCAGGCTACCATTCTTTGTACAGGACATAGAGCGATTTTATTGAAGGAATTTGCTGTAACATTAACTTGATCCAGGCTGCAGTTTGTTTCCAAAGTTCTATGATACAATGTACTTGAATTGGTTGAGATAGAAAAAAGTATCAATGAAACTAAACGCTACATGTACAGTACTGTGTGTTGAAACATGTATATTACACATTTGTGATTTCATCATTTTAGCTTATACCATCGCCTTCACTTGAAGCGTGCTTTTTAGGCGCACGAAACGTGTATATCATTGTTTTATTGCATGTTATAATCACACAACTCAGAAACAAATTCTGACTGCATCAAAACTGTGTTGACCCTGCAGACTGATATTCGCTACAGACGGTTCAATTTAACTGAAGTCATATTCCTATTTGTTGCCATGTATAACAAATTAAAATAAAACCAAATTCAGACTCTTGAACATGTTAGCTTGTTACAACAGTTCCGGCACCTAAGCAGCACAATATGTTGACCCGCTGATCGCCTACTTACAGTACAAGACAGTATATACTGGTTACTGGCTACAGTGTTATAACCGTGTTTTGTACATGAGTAGAAGGTGTTCTGGGTACAGGCTGTAGTATTAAACACTAGCTGTCTGGTATTGGTATTACTCACGTGAGTAGAAGGTGTTCTGGGTACAGGCTGTAGTATTAATCACTAGCTCTTTGGTATTGGTATAACTCACGTGAGTAGATGGTGTTCTGGGTACAGGCTGTAGTATTAAACACTAGCTCTTTGGTATTGGTACAGTTACTTGCGTGAGTAGAAGGTGTTCTGGGTACAGGCTGTAATAATAAACGCTAGCTCTTTGGTATTGGTATTACTCACGTGAGTAGAAGGTGTTCTGGGTACAGGCTGTAGTATTAAACACTAGCTCTTTGGTATTGGTATAACTCACGTGAGTAGATGGTGTTCTGTGTACAGGCTGTAGTATTAAACGCTAGCTGTTTGGTATTGGTATTACTCACGTGAGTAGAAAGTGTTCTGGGTACAGGCTGTAGTATTAAACACTAGCTCTTTGGTATTGGTATAACTCACGTGAGTAGATGGTGTTCTGGGTACAGGCTGTAATAATAAACGCTAGCTATTTGGTATTGGTATTACTCACGTGAGTAGATGGTGTTCTGTGTACAGGCTGTAATAATAAACGCTAGCTATTTGGTATTGGTATTACTCACGTGAGTAGATGGTGTTCTGTGTACAGGCTGTAGTAATAAACGCTAGCTGTTTGGTATTTGTATTACTCACGTAAGTAGATGGTGTTCTAGGTATAGGCTTTAGTATTAAACGTTAGATGTTTGGTGTCGGAAATACTTGTAATACTTACGAGAGTAGATGATGTTCTGGGTACAGGCTGTAGTATTAAACGCTAGCTGTTTCGTATCGGTACAAACATCGACAAATGTACTGTTACACGTCGTCCCTAGGTAAGTGAAGTATCCCTGCAGAATGCTCGGACAATCAGCCTTCCCCAAACTCTCTGACCCTTGATAAGAATAGTAAGAGAAGTCATTATATAGTGTAAATATGTGTGATTTCAGAAATGTAGGGAAATGGTTCCTTCTGTTGTTTCTGGTAAATCGAATTTTGATGGTGCGATATTAAATCTTAATCTGAGTTATGCATTTAAGAATATCTAACAACAGAATGCTATTTTAACATGAAGATAGTTTAATTGACACAACCCGTATGTAGTACGGTAAATCACTTTAATATTATAAAGAAATATTTACCTGTATTAATTTATTTGTGTCAGGCACATGATTAATATTATATATAATTGTTTCAATATAATCATGCTAGTGTTCATTCTTGAGTATACACGATTAAGATCAACATAGCAACATACAATCAACACGTGTATGACTTATGTTATAAGATACGCTAGCTTACCATTCAGCAGAGCCACGTGCACTCTCTCCCCCGCTGTTGTATACGCTGTGTCCGAACAGACAGACGCCCCAGACAAAGTTGATGATGCTGAACCTAAGGTGATCCTTTCTATAACAGTGGCAGGCGTTAGCGCCACTGTGAATTCCTCTGCAATAGTTGATCATGTGTCTTACAGCAGCATCAGTTTATTTGATCATATTTAAACTATTTCTAACATTCAAATACAAACGATATTCTAATGATACCATATATTAGTGTTCATACATACACGAACTTTGATCTGGTTTAAAACAAAAATGTTGCATCATCCTTTGTTCTCAGTGTACATTATATAGTAGAATATACATTGACGTACCTGTAGCTGTCCATTATTGTGTTTAATAAAGGACAGCAACTGGGCTCAAATTGGACTTATAAAGATAACAAAAATTCATGATTTATTTACAGCATAAGGCTTTACTAGGCATATGTTTCATTATGGCCCATTTCACAGTTGAATTTTATTGAGGAGAAAAGTCTTTGAGAACAGATTGATCCAACAGAATGCTGTAAAACTTACTCGAGGAGAAAATACGGTAATCCAATCATTATTTTAAAATATGAATATTGATGGAACAGAAAACACGAATCCTGATTCAGGATCAATCCAATAGATCTTCACACAAAAAGATCCATATTTGGAGGGAAAATAAATCCGATAGACATTTCCTGATGTTTCACGAATACAGTGGTTATTTCCTGGAAGTGAAATAATTTATCTACAAACAGTGTTTGTTTATTTAATATTTGAGGTGTGAATTGATTTACCCTCTGATTGTTTTTCTATTTTGATCGCTTTCACTTTTGTTCTCTGTCCTATGTGTTGTGTTAATCAACATGTCTTTAAATTAAAAATCTTCAAAACTTATGCTGAAAGTGATATTGTCGTCTCCTGAAAATTACATGTTCTCACTTCAAATGACCAAGCTGGACTGACTGATAAATACACAGGATTCACTTTATAATTATTTTGACATTGCAATTATGTTAACTCTAACTGTACCTGTTCAGTAAGCTGAACACATGTAGTCATGCATGCATGAATGACCATAGTTCGTGCTGCATACACACGCCTTGTCATTGATAACTTCATTACCAGTACATTGTTCAGTAGCTGTTCATTCTTAACACAAAAGCATGTCCTCTATTAATAAAAGGGTACCGTGTGTCAAGTAGGAAACATTCCTCAAACTGTCCATTCCCTCACAGCATGGACAGTTCTCGGTCTTTCTCCTTTACGAAGTACTGTGATTTACGGTGGTAAAACACCCTGGCTTCTCGACTTTATCACGGTGTGAGAGGATATACTGTATAGGCTAATGACTGTGTGCAAGCTACATATCGGAAGGAAAAGATTTTAATATAAAATTAAAATGTCATTTTAGATAATGCAGAGAAATATATGTATAGCTAGTATCAGAGTAAATCCGATAATTGGAGACTCGTAACAATCTTTGCATTTGCATTGACAAATAAGAAAAAGCGATGGTCCTCACTACCACTTACAGCTAGTTCATCTAGAACTGAATCCTCTCACGCCAATGTGAAATTCATGTATCTAATTTGTGAATGCGCAAATCATGTATTTATTCTGTAAATTATAATAATTGATGGCAACAAAACTCATCAGAAAAAAAATCATGCGTAGGTATCGCTTTCTCTTTTTGATTTGCATCAGTGACGACCAAGCTTACACCAGTGACATACAATTATCTGGAGTGATTAATCTACTTACGAGTGAGAAGAGAATAGATGTAGTTGTAGTCGGACTGTTGCTCCAGATACAAACATGTGTAGACATTGTATTGGGCGGGTCCCGAGAAGGGTGTCACTGTTTCCTGTGATCTGTAATATAGTATAGTAGATTATGAACTTGTTCTTTATCGATGTTATTTAAAGTAAATATTGATGTTGCATATGGCCATTGAATAAAACTGATTTAGAATAAAATCCCCAAAGACAAACTGTTTATCCTAGAACATATTCAGCGACCTACTTTAAGACGTAATATCCTGAAAAAACCTCTTCACAATCCATGTTGAACAGAGCTGATGCGGACGGCTCAGCCTGGGCAGGGAAGTTTGAGATGGTAGAAGAGTTGACGGTCCAAGTGCCCCGGCTGTTTGTAAGCCATGTGTTCTGGAAGGCTGTCGGGAAGGTACAGGCGGACTCTGTATTGAAAATGAAGATTTAAGGGTGGAGATTTAAGGGAACTTCATGTTAAACAAATGCCAGAATAACACCACGGGTTTCTAGGAGGTTTATGGGGACTTTAATAAGGACAGCACTGGGGGAAACGTTGCTATTTTGTGTATCTTTACTCGTGCCATTTCAATAACATGGTTATGGTACAGGTTATAAACCTCACAAAGTGACTCAACACATTTGTTAGGATTTAAACAAAATTGGCGGCGTCATCGGTGATGTCTTATGGCGGTATCTTTTGCCGCACCTTCACTAAAATAATATTTTATGAAACAATAAATGTATTGAAATTTTGATCAAAGATAAAAAAAAAATCCGGCATCCTGATAAAGGTTAGCCAATTACGCCAATACCATTGTCTGTGTGTTATCTATTATTTAAGTGAACAGAGCTTCATTGCATTTTATGAATTAAGGCTAGCATGGTGCTAGGTAGCTGACGCTGCAGTGAGTTCTTGGAAGGATTTCGGAGGTACAAAAAGTAAAGTATATATTTATATATACAATTTTTTGGTTGATGAAATTATTCCGTATGTTTTTTACAGATTTTGATTCCGTATTTTGTGACATCAGTTCTCAATATTTATGTAAGTTAAGGATATTTCAAGGCCAGCTGCCATTGGTTAAAATGGGTCAAGGTTAATGCCCATTCGTCACAGGTAGCAACGAGAGCCCCGTGGGGTGGAAGCTGATAAACCCCTCACTCTCGCTGCTGTATCAAGACGCCATAGTGGTTTGAGAAAAAATTGTGAAAACTTAAATTGATCCCTCCCTCCTCCCCTATCAGCTACCTTGCAATTTTTAATTATCTAAATGTCATGCAGCTAATTTTTCAAAAAAGGATTACAATATAGTCTACTTATCGTGTTATGTCATTTGTCAATGAACTTGTTTTGAAAGTTTTAATAGAACGTATATATTTGTTATTAATTGTAATATTGATTAAATAAAGAACAAAGTTTTGTCAGTCATATTTGTATGCCCGGTTTATCTTCAGATGTTAGGTTTTTTATGTGCAGCGTCAATATCCCAGGTGTTATTGGTAATAACTAAGTGAGTAAACACTTACCAGCTGGCCTGAGCATGGTAAAATCCTACCTCCCCCTTACTGGTAAAAGGTTGGGGCAGCCAGCTCGCAGCGCTCTTTGGACATTGCGTTGTTACTTACATGTAATTGTCCTAAGTTAATGAGGGGCGGTATCTTTTGCCGCACCTTCACTAAAATAATATTTTATGAAACAATAAATGGCGGTATCTTTTGCCACACGTTCACTAAAATAATGTTTTATGAAACAATAAATGTATTGAAATTTTGATCAAAGATAAAAAAATAAATTCCGGCATCCTGATAAAGGTTAGCCAATTTCGCCAATATCATTGTCTGTGTGTTATCTATTATTTAAATGAACAGAGCTTCATTGCATGTTATGAATTAAGGCTAGCATGGTGCTAGGTAGCTGATGCTGCAGTGAGTTCTTGGAAGAATTTCGGAGGTACAAAAATATATATACATGTATATACATTTGTCTTTGCCCATATATCTGTACTGAAATTATTGTAAAATCAATCTGTTTCTTCCAGATGGGTTATCTTTAGTCACAAACCATGAAAACAAACGACATCCTATCCACTGACTGTTCATCACACGAGCTATTAAATTTATAACCAAGAACTGAAGAAGTAAGTTCTGAATGAAAACTGCTCAATTCTACACCAGTAAAGCTCGACAGCGATACTCCATTTGTTGTAAACATTGTAGTATGGATGTCGACTTCAGCCGGGTATAATAATAATAATATACAGCATTTATATAGCGCCCTATATAATTTGTAAAATTACTCTAAGGGGTGGTATTTACATGACGTCTTTGCAAAGATTCTAAAATGCAGACGTGAAGAGGTGAGTTTTTATGTCCCTCTTGAACTTGGCCAGGGTATTTGTCTCCCAAAGCATCTGTTTCCGTAGGTCACAGTACGAGATTTGGGGACACACAACAAAGATTCTGACTCCGACCGCAGTGATCTTGACGGCTGATACAGGGTAGCAAGTTCCTGTAGGTACTGAGGAGCTGTTCCATTCAGTGCCTTGTATGTGTATAGCAGAATTTTGTACTGCGACCTGTATCGTACAGGTAACCAGTGTAACGAATAAAGCGCAGGTGTGATGTGCTCTCTCTTTCGAGTACGAGTAACTAGCCGTGCTGCAGTGTTCTGAACCCTCTGCAGACGACAAGTTAGTTTGTCAGATATACCACAGAGCAGGGCGTTACCATAATCCAACCGAGAGGTAACAAGTGAATGCACCAAAATCTTGCATGCATCTGCAGTTAGAAACTGCCGAATACAGCCGATGTTCCTGATCTGGTAGTAACAGGATTTGGCAATTGCGTTCACTTGTTTCTCCATGTTCNAAAAGACGATTAGTTCCGTCTTTTCCTGATTAAGTTTAAGCATGTTGGCGTTCATCCATATACTGATATCTGTCAGACAAGCTTCCAGACTTTCTGAGACTGTATTCCAACTGTCCTGTGGTTTTATGACCATGTAAATTTGTGTGTCATCAGCATAGCAATGATAGCGAAGGCTATGGGGACGACTGAAAGAGCAGTGAACCAACTAGCCGACATTGCTCTCAATAAATAAATCAGTTGGTGAACGGTTAATTTGGTCCCTCGCCACTGTCTCTCTGCTTGTCTACGTTTCTGTTTTTCCACGCGGAGATTTTCATTATACCACGGGGCATTTGGTCTCACAGTTATCACCTTAGTTTGCAGAGGTGCGTGTTTCTCTATAAGGGCTTTATACCAAATGTGTATGCTTCAACAAGATCATCAGCCTTGCCTTCAGTAGATTGAAGGGCGGAACAAGACTGAATGTCATTTTTGAAATCTGGTATTGAAATTTCGCTGAATTTCCGGAAGCTCACTTTTTTCCTTGCACGAGCTGGCTTACTACAATTCAGTGTTGTGTGGACAGCAAGATGATCACCAGAGTGGTTCCCCTTTACATCACTTAGACATGGATCAATGACTGAAATAGCTCCATGAATGACTGAGTTATTTTCCCTCGTTATGACCACATCCAGTGTGTGGCCATGGGTGTGTGTAGCTTCTGTCACATGCTGAATCAGACACCTGGAATCTAGTAGACCAGAGAACTGGTATCAGGGGATCTGATACTTAATGTGTTACATATAATCAGCTATGATTTAATATGTATATCATCGGTATATTGGAACTGTAAGGAAATTATACTTTATTAATTATGTCCTTTAGATCTATTTAATGATTATGCTTATATTTATTTAATATACGTTGTCAATAATGAGAACACATAATGAAGTGAAACATATAATAAAACAGTATTACACCACGGAAAACAAACCACATTCATATTTCACCAGGGAAAACAAACCACATTATTATTTCACCAGGAAAAACAAACCAGAGTATTATTTCACCAGGGAAAACAAACCACAGTATTATTTCATCAGAGAAAACAAACCGCAGTATAACTATACCAGGAAAAAATATCCACAGTATTATTTCACCAGGAAAAATATACCACAGTGTCATTACATCAGGGAAAATATACCACAGTATATTTCACCAGGGAAAATATACCACAGTGTCATTCAACAAGACAAATACACCAGTTTCACTACAACAGGGAACATATACCACAGTATTATTACATCAGGGAACATATACCACAGTGTCATTCAACAAGACAAATAAACCAGTTTCACTAAAACAGGGAACATATACCACAGTATTATTACATCAGGGAACATATACCACAGTGTCATTACATCAGGGAACATATACCACTGAGTCATTCAACAAGACAAATATACCACAGTGTCATTCAACAAGACAAATATACCACAGTATTATTTCACAAGGGAAAATATAACACAGTGTTACTTAACAAGACAAATATACCACAGTGTCATTCAACAAGACAAATATACCACAGTATTATTTCACCAGGGAAAATATAACACAGTGTCACTCAACAAGACAAATATACCACAGTGTCATTACATAAAGGGAAAATATACCACAGTATATTTCACCAGGGAAAATATACCAAAGTGTCATTCAACAAGACAAATATACCACAGTGTCATTTCATCAGGGAAAATATAACACAGTATTATTTCACCAGGGAAAATATAACACAGTGTCACTCAACAAGACAAATATACCACAGTATCATTACATCAGGGAACATATACCACAGTGTCATTCAACAAGACAAATATACCACAGTGTCATTCAACAAGACAAATATGTCACAGTGTCATTCAACAAGACAAATATACCACAGTATCATTACATCAGGGAAAATATACCACAGTATTATTTCACCAGGGAAAATATAACACAGTGTCATTCAACAAGACAAATATACCGCAGCATTATTTCACAAGAGAAAATATAACACAGTGTCACTCTACAAGACAAATATACCACAGTGTCATTACATCAGGGAAAATATATCACAGTATATTTCACCAGGGAAAATATACCACAGTGTCATTCAACAGGACAAATATACCATAGTGCCATTACAACAGGGAACATATACCACTGAGTCATTCAACAAGACAAATATAACACAGTGTCATTAAGCAAGACAAATATACCACAGTATCATTACATCAGGGAAAATATACCACCGTGATATTCAACAAGACAAATATTCCACAGTGTCATTCAACAGGACAAATATACCATAGTATTATTTCACCAGGTAAAATATAACACAGTGTCACTCTACAAGACAAATATACCAAAGTGTCATTACAACAGGGACATACACAACAGTGTCATTATAGTATTCGATTAGACAAATATACAGCAGCATTATTTCACCACGGAAAATATATCACAGTATATTTCACCATGGAAAATATACCACAGTATTATTTCACAAGGCAAAATAATACACAGGGTCACTCAA